AGTTGTTGAGGCTCCATGTCTGTTTTGGTCATGTGAGGAACTCCAGACTTGTGTACCAGTGAGCAGCATGCATGTGCTGCTGTGGTATAAGTACTACTCAGTCTGAGTGACAATGTGATTATTTATTTATTATTCTTTTATGTATTTATAGTTCATGCCAGTTGCACATGAAAGATACAATATATACATGCTGCTCTTATGAAGCATTTAGAGCTAGCTAAGAAGCATAGCAGCTACCTATATTGTATATTTTGTGTGCTCCTGTGTGCTCTTACTAGTGCTGTGTATGTGCGCTGCAACATCTCTTATCTTATCTTATATTTTGTGATGAAACTATGATATGTTTTATTAATACTCCTTTGAATTGAGTTTGTAGGGAGCATATTTTGTAAACTGTAATCAAAGAATCATGATGCAACTTACTTTGTCCATGCTTGCATCAGTTTCCTAAAGTCGACAGGGATTTCATGGACAAGGAAACAGCCCCAACACTGCCCCATGTGGACAGGGTAAGCATAACCAAAACATGTTCTATTGTGAACTAACGCATCAAATGTAATGGGGGAATGCACATATTGCCTAGGAATGTCACTGTTAAACCATCTAAATTACATCTAAAATTGTATGTAGACATGTTGTTGCATAGTGTCCCCATAGCAGTACACCGAGGACTGCTCTGGTGCACAGATGAGGCATTTCACAGTGGTGTGGTAGAAAGTGTGATTGGCACAGAAAGGACAGTGGGGCTTGCCTTTGGTGGAGTTTGTTCTGTCTCTGTAGGACATTCCAGGAGCCGCTGTGACGTCTCTTACTCAGGATCACATTTCTCTGACACGGTTCCTCTGGCCCACAGTCAAACCACAACCCTTTCCTGGTGCTGCTGGTTACGTGTGAGCTTTTGCTTCACAGAAAGTTTATTAGATAAAAGACCATGTACACACAGTAGCACTTCATTCCTCATGCAAACCAAAGCAAGCATCCATAGTCAATAGTTCAGAGTGTTATTCCATCTTATGCAGCAGCAGTCTGCACTAGCTGTTTTCCGATCTGTGGCTCATTAATGTACTTCCCTCCACTTCTTCCTGCTCTGCCCAGCCTCTGCTGGTGCCACTGCAGGGTCAACTGGGGTCCAGCAGCAGGGCTCAATGTAAGAATCAACAACCACATTTTGAAGGAAAACAACGTAATGTCTTATGCGTTTAACTGTTGAGTAAAAATGGATAATAAATAACTTCACATACTAACAGTAATCTCCAAAAAGAAGAGTGTCAAGGCAACGTCTGGTGCCAGAATGGCAGAGAACGTTTCCTGTGAGAGCAGAGATGCTGACAGGGGAGGAACAAAGGTGAAGCTGTGAGCAAAGGCTGTGCACATAGACAGGAAATCTGATCTGCTGCCCAACATGGGCCGGACCTTAGGGAGCCCCCGTGTCTCACATGCAGCAGAGGACTTGGGTCCTGCAGGAGAGAGTCCTGGAGGGGCAGCATGAGCACAGCATCTGCACCACTATTAATCACTTCTCAAATGAGCTGCACCAATGAGCCAGCACACATTATCTACTAACTGCAGACTATTTAGCTTCATCAGTTCTGGGGCACAACTCAAAGACAAATATGAAAAGGACTTTGCTGGATTAGCCAAAGAAAGTGGAGCAGGAGTTTCCTGAAGTGGCCGATGTTGTCACTTTGTTTGAGTGGGTTTGGGAGTACACAGTCCAGTAGTGAGGCTCTGTGGGCTGCCCCTGCCCTTGTATTGTTATCTGAGACCCTGGGCACCATGCTTCAGTGCTCAGCTATGCCGCCAGCCCCTGCAGGCATGTAGCGAACACTAGCTTGAGTAGCCACAGAGTGGCTGCCCTCCTAAGCCTCACAAAGCAGCTTAGAGCCTCCACAGCGCTCACACGTGTGCACACTGCACTGGCACTCACACATGCGGCGGCTGCACACAGAGTGGGCGGGGCTTCTTCTACTTCGTAGCGACAAAGGGGAAGGGGCCTGGGTCAGCGCCAGCCCCCTCAGCTGTACCAGAGCACGTTCAGAACACACACCTTCACAGTAACACGCTGCTAACAGTGATATGATACACGCACCTCGCATGTTCCTCAGGCGGAGGGAGGGACAGCGCAACTAATCATTACCATGTGTTGGCTTGTGCTCCTCAACTTTTTATTTTCAGAAGTGTAACCTAAACACTTTTCCAATCAAACTAAAATTATGTTTCAATTTTCAATGAACAAATGACTTCATTTATGTTATATCTCAACACTCATGTACAGACCTTTACATACAAATATTACCCCCAACTGCCACAGTGAAAATTGAGAAATAACTTATGTTATGTTTTGCTATTTGTGATGCTTGTAGTTTTGAACTATAATGTAGAAGTATAATGTTGCTTCACTGAGTTTAAGAAAAAAACAAGTGAAGCAAAACCTGAGTGATACAATAACAACTACATTGGAAAGGAATCAAAAAGAACATGTTTGATTACAACAAACAAACAATGCTCTAAATGTATCAGCCCCATCATGAGTCAGAAGTGGAGTGCTTGGTCACAGTGTGTCACAACACATGCATACTGTCCATTCAGAACAACTCATGACTGTGGACCATGTGATTACACTGCAGTGAGCTTGTGCCGCTTGTTCCACCAGTTTCAACAACAAAAATGGCACTGCCTGGACATGACTGGAAAACATTCAACATCATTATAATTGGAAATGTGTGTAAATCTGGCTTCTTACATTTTCTATAACTAATCTTCTGCAATCTAACACTGCTAGCTAAATAAAAGCTAAAACTGTTATCTTTCTTCATAGTCTGGCCTCTCTTTGCTCTAGGTTCCAGGCTATTTTGGTTTGCAGACACATCCTAGTTTGGCCTTGAATAGCCTAAGTGTATTGCTCTCACATAACCCAATATGGAAAGAAGAGTTCAGGGTGGTTTTGACTGGTCTTTACCGCCATCTTCAGGACACATGGTGCAACTGTGTGTTATAAAAAAATATTTTTTGCGGTCATTTGTAACTAGGAATGTGCAGAGCATAAAAAAATAGGGTACGTTGTCAGCATTGTTGATTTCTGAGCTATATTTTATAAGTACATTTATGTGTGTCAACTAAATCTATAAGAGATTATCCCCAGCTGGCCACTTACATGGGCTGTGAACAGATGTCTGGTCTGTTAAAAAAAAAGAGAGCTGTAAACTTGCCTTAATAACACAGTCTAGTTCAGAGTCAAAAGGCGGTACATTTTATATTCCCTTTCATCTGCGCGGTGCCTCTGAGACAGACACGGGTGAGTGTTTTGAAGCCAGGGATGAGGCCGGGAGTCAGAGGAGGAGGGGGGAGGATCTGGTTCTGCCCCAGGGCTGTGTGCCGTTGCTGTTGCTCTCCCTTTGTCTGAAGAATGATTAACACAGAGCAGCACTAAAGATGTTTCTTATGAATTGTGTGTGCTGACAAAGGCTGGAACTGTGTCAGATCTCTGCTGACTGTGAGTTGCGGGGGAAACAGGGAAGTCCAGAAAATAGGCGACACTCACATATTAGTGTACTAGTAGTAATGATAAATCAATGCCATTTACAACAAAAGGTAAGAATTTTGTGTTGAGTAATTGTGGAAGCCGTAATGTATCATATGCATTTTAGAGTTGTTGTTTGTAGTTCAACTTGACATAAAAAAAAAACTTTTACTTTTAATGGAACTGTAGAACTATAACATGTACCAGTCCAATAAACAATGTTGTGTTGTTGTCATCTCTACTTACACAGAAAGTGAATATTACAGCAAACAATAGTGAAATAAGGTCAACGTGAAATTATAGTGAAATTTACTAAAATGGTTTAAATGAAAACCCCTGATGCTAGATGTTTGGGTGTCAGAGCAGAGTGTGATGGGTGAGGAGTTTTACTTGACCTTATGTGTGGTCAGTGAACTTCACTCAAACTGTCAGCAACAGTCACCTGCTGAGCGTCCATTTGTGGTATTTTATGGAGGAAGTGACATCTGTTTTTGAAATTTAAAAGAACGCGTGTGTGGGCACAGATTCCATGTAGCATAATGACCCAGGCTATGGTCAAGGCCGGGAAGGAGCCGTGAGGCTACGGCGGTAACGACTACACATGCAGCGCTTTAACCACTACACTGCCCACAAAGCCAAGCACATGACATGACTGTTCCTTTTTTAAAGATTATCATTCTACTCATCCTTCTTGGTCTGCTGAGGAAGACACCGATCCATCATGTCTGGTTGATCCTGATTCAATACTTATTTCGCAATGATAATAGTTGGAGATTCCTAACCATTGGTGTGTAATGTGTTGATAAAATAACATTAACAAACAGTAGAAATAGTGGTTCATGTGACATATGTCAGTTTGCATGTAATGTGTCTACATCATATATTGGTTTCACATTTGAAGTTGAATTACAGAAATAAATGAACTTTTGAACGATATTCTTCTTTTCACCTGTGAAATACCGCAACATTTCAGCTCACTATCTGTATTCTCTATCTATATACTTTTTCATGCTAAAGTAAGAGAATTTATGTGTGCTCCTCATTCCTGCTGTTCTTTAACTAGTAATGCAACACTGAAATTTTAAAGGATCTCAATCTTAATCTATTTTTATTAATCTTTAGTTTTCACCTGATAGAATTGACTAAGCATAAAAGATAAATAGATATGAATAACGATTTTATAGAGCATGCAGTAATGAGGAAGAAGGACTTTGCTCACCGTGTGCCGGTCTTGTGATGCCATCAAAGTGCTTCATACCCCTTCACAGTCAGGTTCAGCCGTCACCTGCAAGGTAAGATTTGTCAAACCAAATTATTTAACAATTACATGTTGTTAAATTCTAAAGTTCTAATGTTTTGTTGCTTCTGATTGTGCTTTAAGAAATACTAATGTAGTTTACGAACATGCTTTACCGCAAAAATATGTCAATCATTAGAAAATAGACCTCACAAGATAACGCTTTATTCCTGCAGTTAAATCATGGAGCCCAGAAGCATACTCAAGCGCAGCCAGTCTCTGAAATCAGTGACATGGGAAAAGCCGACATGGACTGATGGGAGCCTGCAGGACAAGAGGACATCTGTGTCTCAACTTGTCGCCAAGTAAAACTCACAACGTAGTCATGTAAATAACTTTTTTAATAAACGTCCTCAACTAAACTGTATTGTGTCAGGTATCAGGTGGGATCCAGTCAGCAGGTCCAAACAACTACAGTAATTGACATTGAGGAAAAACCCAAAGAGGACTTGACCATGGTAACCAAAACAGATTTAATTATTATTTGCAGTGTTGTGTGACAGCGGCAATATCATTATCATATGCAAATGTATCTATTCATCTATTTATTTTTGTTAGATATGGCGATCTCATCTGAAAGCAAATGACTTGAAACAAAATGTTGATAATGCTCATGACTCATCTGTATCATGGATCAATAATGACACATGGATACAGTCTAAAAATCCACCCAGTCTTCCCCGCAGCAAATCTATGGGAAGTCTTCACAACATTGATGCTCTGAAATCAAAATTTGAACCTAGATTTGAGGCCCGAATTGAACAGAACACTTTCATATCTTCTCCAAGAAAGTCTGCCAATAGCAAGGTTTCAAATGAAGAGAAAGGAACGAGCATTGAAGTTGAGTCTCCAATGAAAAAGTTTGCAACAATGGTAAAACAAAATGCTTCAATCACAAAGGTAATAGTTGAAAGACCAATGTAATTTTTATGCATCAATATTTTCTGACTCATTTTCCCGTACTCATTTGCAGGTGGAGAATAACACTAAGGTTCAAAGAAGGAAAACTATTGGGGGAATAGATTTTGAAAAACTTGCAACGTCTCAAGCCGGTATGTGCACTGGAGTTGAGCATGCATTCAATTTATCTCCTACTTTAATCAGACTGATAAAAAGACACCACTTTATGGGTTTGCAGTGATAGCAGTTTTCCCTCTTGCAAAGCTACTTCCTCATCTGTAACTCAGAGCAGTAAAAAGTATGAATGAAAGTAAAGAGGTGAAATGGAGTATACTAGCGAGTGCGCTGAACCATGATTGACTCAGCCTGGTGCGGCACAGGGTAGACCACTCCGACATGAGACAGAAATAGAAGGCGCGTTGTAGCCCTGAATAAGTGTAGGAGGGTGTGAGGGTCAGCTGTCACTGGGGCAGGAATGGGATGGGGAAAGAGGCGCAGACTGGTTTAGTGCTCACACGCCTTTAGGAAATGGTACTGTATTCATCAGTATGATTCAAGGGAAAAAGGGCCAAGACCAGAAGCTAGACCAGGGCTGGTTTTAAGTGAGTATTCTTTTTATTTCAAATTTGATATAAGAGTATAAAGACTATGTCCAGTTTAATAGTAGTAATGATACCACTGGTTACATGCAAGCTCCTTCTGATGAGACAGCTCACTTTATTGTTTCATAAATGCATTTGTCCCAACAGAACGAGTCTTGTTTAAGTAACATTGTGTGCCTCATTCAAACCACAACATCTAATAGTAAATATTGTACCTTTAACATACCGAGCCCTGATTGGTTCAGTGAGGGCGAGTACTCTCTCTTTCACTGAAAAAGCTGATGTAAATATACTAACAGAGACCAATAATACACGTGAAAAATAGAGATAGAATCCAAGCATTTAAAGAGTAAGGAATTAATTACATGAATTTTATTACATGGTAGTTTTTTGTGGCTTCAAAGTTAAGTAAGTTAGTTTAAGTTCTGTTGAGTGTACTCTTTTACAAAGCCAAATAGCTCTGATTAGAAATGGTGGAAGCCATTTTTGTTGTTGTGGTGCTTGGTATAATAATGACTAAGCAAAAAAATAAAAAAAAATATTAATTGTATTTAAATTCATCAAAGAACTATGCTAGCTGTGTTTATGTTTTTCATACAGTAAGTGCTTCGTCACTTGCTGCTCAGTATGTGTGTCAATGGAGTCGGATGGCCGTCTCTTGCAGCTATATTTGCTCCGGGCACATGACACCTGTCTGAGATGTGTTTAGGAAGTGCCTGAGAATTGGCCCACATCTGTGAACTCTCATTTTTAGTATTCTTATTGTGTCCAATTCTTATAACAGAAAGAATTTACATCTGTATGTGTGCTGTCTTTGTTTTATCAGAGGAGAAGAGGAGGTCTATCGCAGACTTCAGAGACAGCACAGAGAAATTGAGTGTCTCTGTAAAGGCCATATCTGCCCTGTATCTGTCAAAGGTTTCCCCACAAGAAACAAAGACTCTGGTAAATCAGAATTATCTATTGAATTTACAGAAGTATTACTTGTTTTGTGAAAGATATAAAGGATAATGCCTTATGAAAAGATTGTTTGATTGTATTTGGACACAGTGTTCTTGACAAAAGATACATTTAGACGATGTATCTTATGCTTTCATAAAATTCTGTCTTTTATTGACATTCAGGTGGCATCAACAGAATTGGGAAAGAGAACAATATCAACAAAGGTAAAGTACCTTTTCTGTTGTAATGCATGGTGAATCAAATAACACATATTTTTGAGCTATCGTAAATTGAATAACGTTGTTGCAAACAACAATTTAACCATTTTGAGGACACATATGACAGCAAGGTGGTTCATAACAAAGCAGCTTTAGTAACCATTGATATCTGGCATGTTGAAGCATATGGCATGATTTGGAAGGTAACATCTGCATGGAGTTCCTCAAACTACCTGAAGCACAATAATAAGTGTTTTTATTTTTTCTTAAGATGGCTGAAAATGAAGGCTACCCGCACAAAACCACTATAGGATCAATGCAACAGCGACGGCGCAAAAATGAGTTGAAAAGGCTCCTGAAGCACACTCATCCAGAAATTACAATGTTGGACAAAGTTGTGGATAAGGAGCTAGCAGCAGTGTTGAAGTCAGAGGAGGAGGAGGCAGCTGCGGAAACCGGATATGAGGGAGAAGTCTTCTCAAAATGCTTGATATTTGAGAACTCCACCACAGGTCAAAAAGAACCTCTTTATACCAGCAACATGGCACAAGGAACTGACCAAACACCAGCAGCGAGTGTGTTTTTAGAGCATAGTAAGCACGACGAAGAGCTAATAGAAGAAGCAGAGGCAAGAATACATGTTCATTCAACCAGAATGCTCTTTGAGGAGCAGACAATGAAAGCAACACATTCATATCAACATAAGTCTCAAGAAAATGTGTGCAACCAACCAGGAAACCAGATTGTGAACAAGTCAATACCAAATATTCAAACTGAGAGCCTTCACAAATTCCACAAACTTCCTTCTACGGATCAACAAATTGAGATTCCAGATGAGGACTTTACCTTCTCAGAGCCAGAATCATTAGGCGACACAATTAAAACATCTCTGGACCTTTTCCGTCACAACCCATTTATTCCAGTCAATGTAGAAAAACAGCAATCATCCTTTCAAAGTACAGAAGCAAATATCCCTGAAGGTGAAGTCTCACATGTAAAGACCAGGAAACATCTTTTTGAGACAATGCCTTTCGATAAGATCAGGCAGCAGAACAAAGACGATATTGAGACAATGGTCGAGAACATCAGGGAAACCTTACACTTTCTGCATTCTGCCAACGTCCTACAATCAAAAGGCTCCATCATTGAAGTCCACGAAACAATGAATGCCACAAAAGTCAACTTTACTTACACTGAGACAGGTCCAGAGATTATGCAAGATACTGTAGCAGAAGGAGGAGCACAGAACTTTATAGTGCACCTGTTGCCACGAGTGAATGTACAACCACAAATAAAGTATATAAAAGAAGACAGATCTGGTGCATTGTTGCTTATGGATGTGAACGTCCCTGTCCAACAAAAACATCCAGACACTGACTTTAAAACCGCAAACGTGCTGCAGCTTATTGAAGATATACTTACCCAGGATAACTCTCTAAGGAAAGGGGTGCTTATCCAGGACGATGTGGCACGATTGTCTCAAGTTAGCGTCTACTCTCTGTACCATTATGTTGACAATGAAGACATTAAAAGCTACTACCCCTCTCAACAAGCATTTGTAGAGGATGAGCCAGAGATACGAGAACCCACTCAAAAAGATATACCACAAGTGAGGAGTGGAAAGATACAATCAGCAATACACTGCCTTCAAGAAAGCCATTCAGAAATATGTACAACGCCAGAAAAGTCAGATATTACTACAAGAGGTAATGTCAAGTTGTTCAAGAGTTGCATTGAAAAAGGCGATATGGAGTATTTGAAATCGCTTCAAACTGAGGTAGACATGGTGACAGAAGAAATACCTCTGAACTCTTCTAGCAACAATACAAGTGATAATACAGCAGACGATGTTGAATATGAGCCAGTAGATATTAAAAGACTGAAAGGTTTATTCTCATCTGATTCCGTACCAGCAAAACCAAAGCCAGAAACTTGTAATTACATTTCTTGGTCATCCATAAAGACAGAGGAAAAAAGTAAGACTGCTGATCATGACACTAACAATAAGCAGAGGCAAGAGGCAAAAAGTGTTTTTGTGGGGAGTGGGGAATGTGTCCGCCAAGCTGAAAACGTGGAGGTCATTGGGCAATGTGATGAAATTTCCAGTCTGCAGGTGGCAATTTCTCAGCTTCAGAAAGCAACAGTTGAGGCCAAATCTATTCATGACTCTTTACTAGAACTACAAGACAAGCACAAAGTGGATCAAACAGTTTTGGAAAGTACTGAAGTTACAGCCTTGAGTACTGATAGCTCAACTATTCAGATACCTGATTCAGAAACTACAACAGAAGATGAGGAAGTTGTTTTTGAGGGAAAACTTCAAGCCGCTTTACAAGCCTTGCAGAGATCGAATCTTAATGTCGCCCGTGGGGGGTTTGAAGCAGCAATGATATACAGAAGCTCTAACAAAGTCTCACAATCTGTTAAGGCAGCGTCTTGTGAAACAACCACACAACAAGTAGGCTCTCATTCTGAGTATAATCAAGGTGTTGTAGTGCAAAATATTGATATTGCTGGTAAAGAAATTGCAAGTCAAAAACAGTTAGTCACAGAGAAAAGCACAAAACCCCTTCGGCCCAAACCAGCCCTTCCTCCAAAACCGGAACATTTAAAAGCCAATCCGAACGATTCACAACCTAAGGTCCAAATACAGAATGAGGAAATAAAACTTGAAAAGGAACCTGGCCAAAATAATGGATTTTCTTCAGAGCATGCACATGATCACATGGAAACTCAAGGCCTAGTCAAAAGTGAATCCAGAAACACAGGGAAAAACAGTATAGATGATAAACAAGAGCAAAAGATTGATCAAGAACAACCTGATGAGAGCCATGTAAACTTTCACGAAGCACGTCAAATGTTTGGTGGTAAAAAAACAACAAAGATTGCACCGGTGAAGCCAAAGAGAGTGAAAATTGCTGAAAACAAACCCAAGGAACAATCCGTGACCCCATCTTCTACGAACAACAGTGAACAATTGAATGAAGGCGAGAAAGTGACGATGAGAGGAAAGAAAGCATGTAAAGAAACGGAGGATGAGCGGAGGCAACGGTTGTCTGTTCATATGGATGAGATCATGAGAGGCAATATTCCAGCCGCCATGGAAATCTATGACAATTTGAGAAAGCAGGAAGAGTTGGAGAACATTCTCATCCGAGTTGAAGAAATTGAGAAGGACACCAGTGAGGTAGATGTCAAATCTCTGAAAAAAGTATTTGAAGATGTCCCGGACTGGGTTGTGAGCTCCAATACAAACAAAAACATAATTCAACAAGAGAAGCAGAAAGAGGAAAGGCCCAAGTCCGTGAAATCAAACTCTGAAACAAGGTCTCCCATGGCGCATGTTTTTGGAGACTTGGCCAGAGCAAGTGAAGAAATTACACATCTGAAAGAGCAGACATTAGCAAGACTTCTGGACATAGAAGAATCAATAAAAAAGGCACTATTATCAGTCTCAAATCTAAAATCTGAATCTGATATAGCAGGTTTATCTAGTCTGTTTAAAGAGTCGCTAGGAGGAGTGCAAACACCAGCTTATTCAGGTAACATAAGCACAATTAGCATCGGGTCCAGTCGCATAAAAGCACAAGACAGTGTATTCAACACAAATGAAAATGAAAGTAGTGAAGTTGGATCTCCAAAACAGCCAAGTCCTACATCCTCACCTGCATTTATATCCATCTCAGCTGCTAGAAAATCAGATATTCCGCCCGAGACTACTTTTTGTTCATCGTGTCGCTCAGTCCCAAAACCTGAAGAGAAATTCCGGACAACCAAAACTTTAACATGTCATAGTCCTTCACAGGTCAAGAAGGGGGACCCTAGACATGGAGGGAAGAAACCGTGTCCACCTAAACCAAAAAGGGAGGTTAGCATGTTAGAGGTACAGACTGATCCTAAAGGGACGAAAACAAGTCATGCATGTCCAAGCACGATAACGGAAAATTATGAAAGAACAGATACCTTTGGCAACAAATTTTACTCGACCAAAACCTCAACTGTACTCAACACTGAGCCACAAAAACAGGTCTCCATACATCCTGAGGTCAGGCTGCCAGTGAATAAGAAAGTGTAAAGCCCCACAGATTTTCTTTTTAGCACAAAGTATGTTACATTTTTTATTTATTATTTTATGGCAAATTAATTTCTACACATCTGACTCTAGTCCATTGGTGTATTATAGTCCTCTTCAACCTCTTTCCATGGACATGTTCTTCCTGCAGTAATAGTAATACATTTGGTATAACATCTCAGTTACTCACAGTAGCATAAGCTGCACAGTCGAACATGTTTTATCAATAATTGTTACAGATTTAAGTTATGTTTGGGTTGTGTTTTTTCTATACATTTTGTAGTCTAGTCTTGTATCATGTAATAATAAATAAAAACCTTACATCCATAATGCTAAGCAAGCTATCCATGTGTGTTGTATGTTTCTAGACTAAAAACCTTACCTTTCCCCTTCAGTTTCAGCCAGTGTCTCAGGAGAAGTGCTCTGCATGCTTCAGCCCTGTTTACTCTATGGAAAGAGTCGCCACAGACAAATCTGTTTTTCACAAACGGTGTTTCTGCTGTAAACACTGCAAGAAGAAGTTAAGGTGAGAGAACAGGAGATGACAACCATAACATAACAACACAGCTCATTTGATAGTATATTAGTTTGATAGTGTTTTCTAAACTCACGTGGAATCCACAGGGCTAGCACCATTACTGTACATGCTAGCACACCCATAATAGATCCATGAGCACACCTAGCTTAGCTTCAGCCATGCTAACGTAGCCTACATGTTTGACTTTGTTTTATTTAAAGGGAAACTGGATAATTATTATGTTTTTATCCTGTATAGTTTTAGTAAAGTCCTAAATTCAATGAAACTAGGCTGTAATGGTAATGAACATTAAATTCACTCATGTGTTGGTGTAAGTGTCTGACAAAAGCTATGTTTGGGATCAGTATAATAAGAATAGCGTTGGCTTTCAATAATAACAACTGTTTCTATCTTTAGCATGCTAAACTACGCCTCCCTGCATGGAAAGCTGTACTGCACTTTTCACTACAAGCAGCTGCTCAGAACAAAGGGCGGTGAGGAGGAGATGGAGCCGACACCGCAGCATCAGGCCCCGGGGACGAACAACTGACTCTGTGTCTGAGGCACATTAGGAATATGTAAAAGATTGTTTTAATCCATGTTTGACCACATTAGTTTATTGCGATTTAACTGCAGCTGGTCTTTTTATTATTATCAATATGCCATAATGAGTTATAAACATGAATGTGTTATATAATTGGTTATAACAGGTTATCTGTGGTTATAACTAGGCCAGGGTGAAGTCATCTACACTGAAAAGGCCAAAGGTGTGAAGGAATATGGTAATCTGTATACACATGGAAATACAAATAGACAACTTTATTTACAGTGATGAGCAAAATAAAGTGAAAAAAATATACATTTCAAAACACTTTTCTGATTTGAAAAAAAAAAAAATCCATTAAAAACATACCATAAAACAAATACCAGGCTGTGTTGTTCATAAGTTCAAACTGCATTACAGTGGGAGGGTTTACAAATGTGAGAAATCCTCTCTACAACTTATATGACAGTTGAAAATAATTACTACACTTTACAGTACAGCTGTGTTTCCCAACTGGGTACACAAGGGTATTTCAGGAGGATTTTCAAGTAATAGCATTAACTTGAATAAAAAAATTCTCTAAGCTAGCATGACATTTTAATGCTACTGTTGTCAAGAACAAAATAAAAATAATTCATGTATTTAGATTTCATATAATTGGTCATTGTGCATTAACAAGCCTAATACTTTTGGTCCAGTTTTGATTCAGTCTAATATGAACTAATTTTGTTCAGAAAAAAATGCTTAAAATACTTACATAATGACAACCAATGAATTAAATAAATCAAACTTTAAAAGACGTAAAAGATGACGTTTACAATAATTAACATTGTGGGCCCCATTCAGCTCTCATGTTTTAATGTAGCCCCTTACAAAAACGAATTTTACATCCCAGTAACAGATTCTGATTCCCCGCTTCACAGCAGGGGGTACTCGTGCTATGTGTCGACAGGCCAGGGGGTACACGGGGCAGGGTTTGGTTCTGGGTACTGTACCCAAACATGACAACGCTCACTGAAATTAACATACATTTGGATTACATACTGGTACTCTTCTCTGTGTCCGTCGGCTTGGTCTTCTTATCTGGCATTCTGCAATGTAACATAAGACGTATTATAATTCCTTATAGCCTAGTTCTAACCGTTCTTCATCTTTATGCACTCACAACATCTCTGTGTGGTCCTGGAGCTCCACATTGAGGGTCTCGGGCAGCATCAGGCACAGCCCCCCCGCCAGGATGGGCACAGTGCCATATATCAACATGGGCAGGAAAAACTGGTACGAGTCCAGAAGTCGGATCAGAGGAGCCAGAATGCCCGCTACTCGAGCACACATGGCATTTAGACCCACACCATTTTGTCTAGAGGACACATGAGTAAGTATTCATGCATTTATTCATTTGATTGGCTTAATAAACTATATTACCTTATTATAGTTGGGTAGAGCTCAGCAGAGTAGACATAAACAATGGAAAAACAGGCTGTTGCAGCAAACTTCCCTAGTACAGCTATCACTGTGACCGCGACCGGGAGTTCTGAGGCAACACAAAGACACATTCAGACAGGAAATTGTACATTTGATATTAAATACACAGTAAAAGTAAAAGCCATGAAACATTTTTTAGTCATCTTGCTCAAGGACTTTGTTTACTCAATGTCAGGCTTAGAATTCTATACCTTAAGGCAGGTTAACCATGAATGAGCTAAAAATATATATTTGGAAATATATTCAGAAGGTCTAGATACCTGCTTCAAAATGTAGTAAAAAAGTGTCCTGTGCAATATTATCTGTACTGATACTTAACTTTTAATCAGTACAGAACATTTATGTGTGTACTTTGTCGCACTCCGCCCTGCAAACATTTATTGTTGCGGTTTGACCTTTTTGTTGTTGCCGCATACAACATTAAAACTCAGGATTTGAATTTCCTTATTTTTCTGAACTTAATCTTCATCCTCTCACCTTTAGGTATTGCAATAATCACCAGACACGCCACCCCTCCCACGACGAGCACCACTGTTTGACAAATGCGGCGTCCAAATCTCTGCAGCATCGGTAACGAGCCGACTCGGGCGGGCAGCTCCACCAAACCAAAGACAAACTGTGTGAGGTAGATGTCCAGGCCGAAACTGCCCACGTTCAGGCTGATGCCATAGTACATCAGGCTGGTGGCAAACCTACAACACATGACAAAACTACATGATTCTGAAATACTGAAAAACACACTCGTAGAGCACAGATCTCTGCCTAGAGGCGCAGTTCCATTCATAAAAATAAATCTTTCCCTCAGACAGTCATTCGGGTATCTTCCAAAATGACATCCATGTCTGGGACCCTCTTTTCCACTGGGGATTACAGGACAACAAAAACAGCTAGAAACAAACTTATTTTTGCTGAGGAAAGTAGACGATTCAGTCTTTCAGAATCAGGTTTCATTTTTCACATGGTCTTAGTAAATGATATTTATAAGTGATGATAAGTCTTCTTCTGGGACAAACATGAATTGTTTGAGAGAAAAGCTTCAATTATCTTTACCTTATTATGTTCTATGTTTTACTCATTGAAATAGTGAAAGTTGTTGGTGAGTCCAGGTTTTACTGACCAGATAAAACTCATGATGAGCGCCCGTTTCCTCAGATAGGGGATTTTAAGGAGATCCAGCATGTTACTCCTTTTCCCTGGAGCTTCTGCACTTAACTGGAATAATGGGGAAAGTTAGTGCATATCTTATGGTAGCGAATGCATTTCTCATCGCATTTTGTCTAATTGAAACAGCACTTACCTTTTCTAATAGCTCCTCGGGAACCTTTCTTTTATTCACTTTAGCTGCTTTACGGATCTCACTGATGGCCTGCTTTTTCTTTCCCTGAGTGATGAGCCAGCGTGCTGATTCCGGGATGATCCTGTTGAGGAATTACTCAGAGTTAAACTGTATTCACTGCACTATCAGAACTATCTGTGTACTACTCAGCTAAATAACAACACTGATACTAAAGTGTGGCCTTCAGTACACAATATGTCTACAGTTGAGCTTGAAAGTTTGACAAAATTTGCCATATGTTGGAGATCATGAATGATAAACACTTTATTCACTACCTGTGAGTGGTTGTATGAAGCCATTTCATTTCAAATAAACATGTAATCTATTTTTGATTTATAATGACGCCGGAAGCTACTTAAATGACCTGATTGGAAGTTTTTATCCCCCAGTTCTCAAGTGTATATTTCCCCTTTAACATCTATGACAGCTGTGGATGAGGTTATTTATCTCCTGTAATGATGAAGCTGCCCATTTTTCTTGGCAAAAAACAGCAGTCTTTATAAATTCCTGGCGCACCTTGCATGCCCTGCACATTTAAGATCTCTTAGTCGCTCAATTATGTTATGAATAGAAAATTGATACAGTTTTGTAACAATATATGGCTTCACACAACCACTACCAATCAGTAGGGGTTCATAATCTCCAATTTATTCAAGATTAAAGAATGTATTTGCCATTCGCAGTAAAACCACATTGGAAAAACTGTGCAAGACTAGAAAAATAGCACAGGTCCTTGCAATGGCTGTAAATCAAACTGTCAAACACAACTGTCTAACCTGGTATTACTGACCAATAAAACAGTATGAACACAGGCAGGAGAGGGACGAACAGCACAAGTTGTAAAACTCTCCAGTTGCGAATCAAATATGCCAAACCAGAGAGTATCATCAGACCCAGGGGGAAGAAAGAGTGGCAGGCGATAGTGCACAGTGCGAATTTTGAGGCATCACTCCACTCACCACCTGCAAAGAACAATATTTTAAAATTTCATTAGTCTGAATGATTTTGTGCATTTGAGGAGGCTCCCTGGTATCAAGACGCAAACAGTAACCTTAAAGCTTGGGTGCCTAACTTATTTTTGAATAATAATTCAATAATATACATTATTATTTATGTAATATATATTAATGTTATATTTTATGTTATATTTTATTCCATTGCTCAATATTTTGGTGGTTGGAAAGGTACATACGCCAACTTTGAAGGGCGTTACTTTAGGGACAGATATCAATAAATTCAACAAATTGATAACACAAATGTAACAATTAAGCAAGCCATGATAAACTAAGGGGTTGTAGCTGCAGGTCGTACGCACCTATCACAAAGACATTTGCGAGGATTCCTGACACCGAGAAGCCGCTGACAAACTTTATAGCCATGTAAACATAAATATTTGGAGAAAAGGCCAACGCCACTCCAAACGTCATCATGAAGAAGAGAGAGAGGAGGATCACAAAGCGACGACCAAACCTGCATCACACTGAATGATTAGATTACATGAATAACTTCTGTTCATGTCATTTCCTTCAACTCAAGGAACAATATACAGTGTTACCTGTCAGCCATGAGTCCCAAAGCCAGAGCTCCAACCAGCAGTCCAAACATGTAGACAGACTGAGAGGTTTCTATTAAACTACTGCTGTCACATACCAGGACAAACTGAGGAGAAACAACATTAATCATTTATTACAAAGCAATGTATTTACTTCTAAAATGAACATAGAAAATTAGGTCCTATTTTATCATTCAGCTGAACATGATCTGGACTGAAGGTCGGTGGTTTAAGTCACTCTTTCCGCTTGATTCCAGCTTCCATAGATGAGTGAGCATCTATGGAAGCTTAATGTACAGTGATTTGTGTCTTGTGTACAGTAAACAGTGTGTCTTACTGTTTACACTATAGCACTGCTGCATGTATTTATCCAGAGATCACATGCATTCATATCTTACCTCTGACACGAGGCTGGAGGCTCCTTCCACTGCTTTAAAAACAGATCCATTTTCACATGTGGATGTGTCATTGAGTCCATAAGCCTCAATGGTTTCCAAGTCCAAATCAACAGGTTTAAACATGAGACAACTATCGTACTGGCCATCGCTGTTAACAGGCAAAGTCAGATTTAGCTGTTTCTCTTTTGTCAGATTTGGCTCAATCTGCAAGATCCAGTCAGTGTTGCAGTGATGTGGAAAAGGAAGCCCCACAAAGACTTGTCCGATCACGTCAAAGGCAGTGAAGAGGGTTGGCAGACACAGCGCCGCCACCAGCCTCTTCTGGAACAGGCCAAACTCCCCGATCTCCCTCAGAATGTCCCTGAAGTCACTCATCATGAGAGTGGACTGAACTGAGCAGTGCAGCCATGCAGCTGTTTGCTGACACACAATCAGTTAATGTTTAAACACAATTATCTTTTTTACAGCCTGTTTGTTAACTTAGTGTATTTATATGCAACATCATGGCTCTTCATGCTGAAGTCCAACTGTTCAAGTCAAGACTTTTAACAGCTGACCCATTGACTCTGCATGGTGTCCTGTTAAAAGCAATGATGTTTTAATATTTATGATGACAAAGATTTGATTTATTTTTTCCTGGATTTATCTTTTTCCTGGAAGTCCACTACAAAGTAACATACAATTATGAAGTGAAAGCAAAATTATAAACTTTTTTTTTTGTTGTAAAAAACTGAAACCAATTTATACAACAGAAGTTATTACTTTAACAAATGAAATATTTGTTAGATGCTTTTGGACTTTACATTGGACTTTTGATGCTGTTTAGTGACCAAGGCAGTCACAGAGCAGCTGTAATTAGACACTTGGTTTTGTTAATTTCCCGAGAAAAACAAGTACTTAATCTAGTTTTCTCGTTGTCTTTGAAAAAAAATGTCAAACTAAATGGGTCGTTAACATGACATTAAAGCTGTATTAGGACTTTTGCCAGCCTCTGTCTATGGCGTTTTTATGGACACTAAGAAGTTTCATGTGGCATTATTCACTCACTTTGTAACTAGTAAAGAGACTAAACTGGGATCTAACCAGTACAAAAACGTGTGTGCTTACAAGATAAAGCATGCAATTTTATTTTACCAACTGTTCGATCAAAACCATTTCTGGAATACAAGTTAATAATCACCCAATTCTAAAGACATGGCTGTTTTCTTTACTACTGGTATAAAAGCTACATGTTTGACTCATGCACATCAATTGTCTCTTCAAAGAAAGCCAACTCAGCAGTAGGAAAACAAAATAAAGTGATATGCACATTTTTTATTGATTGAAATTAATTAGAGATTCATGCTTTGAAATCGAGAATGCTCCAAAACAGATTTAGTGAAAGAATGAAAAACTGGATATCCAAGTATTTTACAGCCTTGATGAGTTATTGCAATAGTAATTTTTTGCCAGTATCCAGTTGCTACAATTTGTCAAACCAACTAAAAGCCGCTTCATGAGGAATATGGAAATATGGAACAGTTAACAATAGAAGAAAACCCCTTTTCATAGCCGGGCTCCATTTTGGCATCAGACATTCACACAGATCCTGTTCTTGCAGCAGGAGAATGGCACCAAATACTGAACTTACAAACTTGTCTTTAAAGCGAAAAATACACTTGGTCATTTAATTTAAGGCTGGCATAAAATTTAACATCTTAGACATTCTCCACATTTGTCCTTAAATTATGTATTTTTGATAGTAAAAGGCATAGACATATGTCATGGGCTAAACTAAACCCCATTCAGAGTATTCCAATAATGCACATTGATTTTCACAAAACATCAAAAGCAAAGCCAACAGATGTCGTAACTTCCCATTTACAATCATAAAAGATAAAATCTATGTAACATTTGTATAAAACCTGGGACTAAAGCGATTAGGATGCAGGGTTAAATCGAAGGGTTAGGGTTGCATCATCAATAATAATCATGGGATATGGGGCATATTGCTCTAATCACAACCCCATTGAACTATATATATTGTAGAAAGCAAAAACCAAAATACATTAAACTTTAGAAATAAAAGTTGTGATATTTGCAGTGTGGTCACATGTTCACCTTCCTTCACACAAACCAAAACGGCATAAGACACAAAAAGACCAAGAGAGAAGCACAAACTTATAAAAACAAACAAAGTCTGAGGTCCTTATTTACAGACCAGACTTCAAATCAAGTGCTCATATTTTCACATAAATGACATCCGTTCATTTTAGAGACTAATACCAAACGCATGGCTACAACACAGAACCCAGCGCACACATTTCAGAAGACATCATGCTCGTTCAGTGACGACCATTCAGCAGTTCTGATGGATATAAGGCATTGTACTTCAGGTTGAAGGGCATTCGTTCAGATTGTGCAAATGCATCACAATTAGATAAGAAACTAAGTTGCAAGGGAAACCACTGAACGTGGATGTAATAGCATTGCATCCTTCTATGTTTCACTGTAAACTTGTCAATATTGAGCCGCTCTGCGCCGTGATGCCACTGAAATCCTATGGGCGATGACCGGTTTCTTTGGCAGTAGTGGTTTCTTTACAGCCATCAAAAGAGAAAAAAATACAATACACTTTTTTTATATATTTTCACATTTTGCCAAGTTACTGTCCCAAGTAAAACAATGTTTTAATTAATGCTCAGCTGAGCAAAGCCCATCAGTTTGATGTCATCTGGGATTTCAGATCCTTCGATCCCAGACGCCTTAAAAATGCAAACAATAATTATCAATAAAAACAAACAACAAACACCCAAAAAATTACAATTCCTACCAGTTTGAAAGTGACATTCCTATTGGCTGGAGGGGCGTCTACAATTTTCTGCAAGTTTGCAGCAACTGCAAGGAAACAATTAACCTTTTTAGTTATATTTTAGACATGTACTAGTAAGAAGAATAGAAAATAAAGATAATTATTCCTGAGAAAGACCTGGTCAACAGATCATGACTAACCTACAACTAAGTCCCTGCCATCCACCAGGCCTGCGGACACCAGCTCCTGGGACACGCCCTCTGCCGTGTCTAAATATAACAGAAAACGTGACTATGAAACATGAGCAGTTTATGTTTTGTCCATAAATGTTATTCATTCAAGTAAATTGATATTACAAGATAAGGGACTTACCTTTTCCTGGTGTAAAATCAAAACGGATGTCATTGAGCTCCTTTTTAGAATTTCTAGAAAACAAGAACACAGTAAATCACAGTTACTTCAAAACAATATGAACATAAAAAAACACTTACCTGACTCTTAATACCAAACTAATGGCAGCGTTGACATCGCCTACAGCAGCTGGAGCCTATGAAACAAAAGTGTTGTGGTAAATATCAGACACTTGTTTCTCACTCAGCACAGTGTGAGTGTATGACCTGTGTGGGGACAGCAGCAGCAGCAGAAGCAGAGGCATCAGGGCCCTGAGGGCTGAGAGGTGATGTGGGCTGAGGACTGGCCGCAGCCTGAGGTAGATGAGCCACTGGGGGATGGAGATTACTGCTTGAAGGGTCAGGAGTCCGGAAAATCTAAACCCACAATTAATTAGTCAAGAAAGAATATGGATACACTGAAATAACAATGAGTTATTGAAGTGTACCTCTGAATTCTCGGGTCCGTCTCTAACACGTGGCGACTGTAAAGTAAACAACAAAACATCAGCAAAGAATCTGATGCATTTACGAGCAATGTTTAAAAAACAAGCATATTGGAAGCAAACACACACAAACGCACGCAGATTAGGAAAACATAATAACAACAAAATGGTTTTGTTTACAGTCTCATTGCGTTATTGACGACCTTTTTGGTCTATGAGAAGTCAAAATTACACAATAGTAATCCAAACAAAATAAACATTTATAAATATATATTTCTGACACAAAAGGTCCATACAACGGAGTTGGGAGTGACACGCTTTCACTAATTAAGGAAAAAAACGTTTAAAGGTTTGGTCCTCTCATGCATTCAGCAAATACTGAAACCACATTTGGAAACGGAAGCAACTAAAACAAGATTGTACCAAATTCTCTCATTTAGCCACAAATGAGTTGTAAACAAGTGAAGGTATTTATTAGTTCATAGATTTAAAGTAAGTACAAAACTGAGTGAAAGGGAGAAAAAAGTAAACAGCTGTAAAGTTCAAATGTTGGGAAAAGGTTGATGAAAGCTGAGGTGTAATGAAGGAGACAGACGGACGCAATACAAGAGGCAGTTTGTCCACAAAGGCAAGAACAAAGCAAAACCAGGAGCAATGATTAAGTATTAGAATTACAAGAGGCTTTTAAGGATGAAAAGCTATTTCCTTTAGATTATTTCAAACCAATTTGTGAGTAAAACCTTGATTTTTAATAATGATAATTAAAATACAGATGGCTTCCAGGAAGTTATCTCCCTTTCAACAAAACTAAACCCACATGATACACGTGACTATCTTAAAATAAAGATAGAGTTGTCATTATCTTTAGATATGAGGAATGATGATACAGATTATAAACTATTGCTTTAATTCAGATGTAACTTTATCACAGGCAGTGGTTTTAAAGACCCATACAGCATTGAACCATTTGGCATAACCACATCCTCACTGTTTTTGAACTACCTATTCTGTTGCCCTAAGACACTAGCAGGGAGAGCTCTTCCTTGTTAAGGGATGCCATGTGTATTGTTTGGACAGTTGAACAACCCTGGACGCAGGCCGCTCCAGTGGGAGGGAGAAGCGCACTTGTCGCTTGGGGGCGCTAACTGCCTTCCCCTGCTGCTCCTTGGCCGTTGGACAGAACATAAAGAGACTGAGTAGAGAGACAATGGACGAACAAGCCACTAAAATGTAAAACAGTGCACAGGAAGTTTAAGACAGGACGTGGACTGGAAGGTTAATGCATGGGACAAATACAGGGTGAAGTTTCTCATGTTATGGATCAATCTACACAAAGGCACAACAGTAAAAACATTGAGTATGCTTACAAGAAAGAAAAAGAATATGGATTGCATACAAAATAGCTCTCTGTGGACCCTTTTTTTATCCTGTCTGTGTGCCTTATGATCATAACTTTGCCTTAGCATTCAGAATATGAAACTGTAATTGCCATCATATACACTGTTAGAGCACACTCTGGGCAAATGTAATCACAAAAATGTTTTTGTTCAATGGCAGCAGCACAAGTAACTTGGTTTTTACAGCACAAATAAAACAAACCATATTTCTAGCTTTAGCCTCATGAGATCAAAACAAAACCATGAAACCCTTGTGGCGAGAGACAAAATGAGTAAGTAGCTGAGTAGTGAGCTACATGCGGCCAAATATGCATATTTTGAATATAGGCATTAGTGGTGAGGGAAAAGAAAAATCAATTATATTTGCACATTTTGCACATATTTTGCACATATTTTGCAATTGATACATTAGAGAGAAGTATATTATCAGGTTCCCTTTTGTGATTGGTAATTTACATCTGAGGTTTAAGTTACTCTATTATGTGTGCTATTAAGTGAATCATTTAAGTGATGTGCTGGGAGCTCACTTTTCAGACAATAATGATGTCTTGTCCTGTAAAAAGGTCCCGTGTCCTGAATGTTCAAGGATTAAGTTCTTTGCACTACACACCTATGTTTTTTTGCACTTCAGTTAGTTTGCAGACCATGTGACATTTGAGTTGAGCAGTCTTATTTTCATACATGTTTGTAATGCCTTAGAATAATGAGGGACATGAATTGATTTATATTATGTAATATGTTAAGAATTGCAATAATATTGTGGCCCAAAAATCCCAATATGAATCGTCACATTTTTGCCAATTCCCACCCTTGATAAGCATGTTTACACTGCGCTCGTGAATGCATCTAGCGGCTGTGTCTCAAAAAGATCAGTTTTACACAATGACATAGCGGATCAATCTTAGTTGATCCAGTTACTCCAAATAAACAGTTTTTTCACACCTCAATGGGAGCGCGCAGGTTTACACGTCGGTTTTTACCAGTGCTTTGTAGACTCACCCTTAAAGCAGCTACCGCGGCTCTGCCTTCTTCACTTTCTTCATCGAGCTCATCATCGCTCCACTCCCATTCCCCGTCCTCCGTTTTATGCAGTCGTCCGCTAGAGCCAGGCACTCTGCGCACCTGAAACACGCCAGATTCACAACTGAATGATGCTCAGTGTTTGTCGAAACCTGAACAACTAGAATCAGGCAGCACTTTACCCTTTTCGACCTCTCTGTTATTGTGGGTGCCCGCTCTAGTAACCGGTCGTGTAAATACTCATGAGTCTGTGAAATAAAGACAGTATCATTAAATTCATATCAACACACTTAGTTCATTCATTCAGCTCACTCAAATGTACCCCATGTACTTTACGAGAATAAACCGACAGTAAGATTGAGCGAGGATTACCTGCCTCGGAAACAATCTTTCTTGAGAACAAAACAGGTACATTTGAATATAATAAATGTGGGGGAGGCTGAGGAAATGATGGATTCTGCACATTCTGCACAGTTAGATGTAGAGGATGCATTTGAAGCTACAAAAAAAGACAATGAAATATATGCAATAAGTTCCCATCTGTCAAAGCAGTTTGGTTTCATCACTAGTTTCACATGCATGTATTTTTTGCATGCATGTGAAACTAAACATGTGTGAGGCTTATGAGTGTTTAGACTACACTCATAAGCCAATCATGTCTCAGTATTCAATAATTCAACAAGACTCTTTCATTTGGGACAAACAATAGTGGACAAAATTAATGTTAGGGTTCTCAAGCTTTAAACAATGCATTGGAAAATATCAGTTCCCAAAAAAACGTACTGTTTCATAATGAGAAAAAAGTCTTTTATCACCTTTGCTTTTTGGAAAAATTTATGCTTCAACAGCTCTGACGACGTAGGCCTAAAAAAACAGAAAAAGTGAATAACCAGAACGTCCTAAGAACAGCGAGAATCAGAACAGATTCTAAAACCTTTTTTCCGGATCCTTCTGTAGACACAGCGAGATCATTTTCCTGAACGATTTGCCATATTTCTTGACCATCTCTTTATCCGTGATCCCTGTCTCCAGTGCGGGAGGGTCATTCTGCAGCGTCAGCATTAAGACCTGTGCCATTCAAAACATACAACTTCATTTTTCACCACGGCACGGACAATTACACGCACCGCCGTTAGTTTATTTGCTCACCTTCATTGGAGGGTATTTGTGGTAAGGTGCAGCCCCAGTGGCGAGCTCGATGGCAGTGATCCCAAAGCTCCAGATGTCAGCTTTAAAATCATAACCTTTAACCTGTTCAGGCACACAAATACAACTGTGAGACGGGATTGGGATTATGGTAGCGTTTGCTTCATCTACCCACTTTACAAACCTTCAAATTGTATATCTGTTAATGTATGTGATAATATATTGTGTTGGTTTGAAATAATTCATCCAAGCTAAAGTATACTTTTGTTGCTAAGAAGTGAGAGTAACTAATCTAAATCAGCGTTTGTCTATCGGGACCAACAGAGCAGTAAACCTACTGCAAACGTTTACAATATGCACGGAATATACACATTTTTGTTTGACATCTGTGTGTTCAAAAATCCTCAATTTATATCATTATTTCAATAGCCATAACATTTCATCAACTGGTCAGTTGTAAATATTTAATGCTAATTAAGCCTGGCGCTGTTATATAATTTCTGATTTACATGTTCCTTATGAACCTGTGCGCAATCTCAGAACCTCGAACCAGAGTGAGACTGAAAGTTGGAGAAGCAGATTTCTCCCATTCTGCTCTTTGTAAATGAAACGCCCCCATAATGATAATCAATGTGCTCCAACTATGTGCTCCAACTACTAAACTCTTAAATGAGCTGCTCTTGTCCTTAGGCGGTTCTCTTAATCTTAATTTATTATCCTTTTTGTGATTTATTTTGTTACACCGTCCTCGTGAAGTGGATTGAGTTTCAGTCCTGTATGAAATGTGCTATACAATGACAATTTTTCTTTTTTTAAGTGACTTGACTCATAGTGTCCAGCTGCTTTCCTCGAGCCTCATGAAGACTGACCTGCTCCATGACTTCTGGAGCCATCCAACACGGTGTCCCCACAAAAGTCTTGCGTACTTTATTCCTCGTCATGTCGCCGCCTGTGGCTAGAAAAGAACTGACTCCAAAATCTGTGGGGGGAGAAGAGAGAGAGGTGATGTCACAGCTCACAAAAACTAAGAGAGCAATAGTCACAATTCAAGCTCAGAAATACAAAGAAGGCTTTGTATAGAGGTACCTGCTATTTGCACTGATCCATCATCACCAAGGAGAATGTTTCCAGCCTTTAGATCTCTGCAAAATCATCAGAAAGAATAATAAAATAATAAGTATTCCCTGTTTTCCCTTTTAAAGGCAAGACATCAAACTGTCAGGGAGGTTATCAATGGCTACGCAGCATGCAACTAATTGGTTCATTCCTCTTGCAGCCTCCCCTGGTGGTGATAAGGACTTGACTGCTGCACAAATTCATATCAAAGCCCAATCGGCCGACGTAAATAACAGTCGTCATAGCAACATACAGTAGACTCAAAAAGGTGGGGGAAAAAAACAAAATCAAAATGATTCTGAATCATGAATTGTCATAAAGAGATACAGTTTCTCCCTGTGCCAGACACATAGACGCAGACACACACACAATGCAGTAAAATTTAACTTGATAAAATGCACATGGCACATTTGGCCACACGGGGGCGTTGTCGTATAATATTGCAGCAATTTCTCTTAGGTGAATATTGCATTTGTTCAGTTGGATTATACTCGCAACCAATTTAATCTCAATGAATATAAAAATAGCCCAAGTGTATTCAGATGTGGGTTTGGAGAAGAGATAGGACACACCTTCCTACCAAATCTTTTCAGCTGTAGTCTTTGCACAATGAACCATGACTTCATTCAACTACTCTGCAATACAGATTTGCATACACAAAAGATCTGTTACCGACATGTCTGATCAATACTTGGATGTCATAAACAGTGAGGCTCACGGCAAACCACAACATATGGCGTCAAACCAAATAAAGTGTATTCAAATCTCCTCACTGAAATCAGTCACAAACTTTAGTCTCGTCCTAGTGAGAGGAATACACTACAATATTTTAGTGTTGTGACAATGGAAGGCGTGTCTGTGAGTTCAGGGAGGTGGCAGCATGTGTCTTTAGTGTGAGTGGATTGTCTTCATACCACAGTGACAATAATGAAACCAAACACTTGCTCATAGAATCACTGTCAATCAGGATAAAAACCTGCCTGTTGAATGGCAAAGCTGCTACACGATACCATTACATGATATGAACTATGCATTATATAAGAGAATGAAAGGAACAGGTTATACAAATGTGTTTTAACTGCTACTGTTGTGTGGAAAAAAAACCTGCGGTAAAGCTACAAAGAAACAAGTTTAGCTCAAGCTACTTTTTGGGAACATGGAGGCACATGATTGCTAATAGCTCCTTCTCTGGGGCAGGTACTTTCCAGTCAGAGCAGGAACTTTTAGTGACACCGTACAAGTACAACACAGACTTTGTGTAAATCTAAAAATGTTTGTGGGAAAAAGAAGAAAATTCCCAATCTGTTTTTCATCTTCTAATAATCAAATTATGTGTGAACAAGTATGAATTAAATTATTATTGCTTCTCAGAATTATCTACAGGTTTTTATTGCTTAATTGTTGGGGAAAAAACATTTGTATGTTGCTATAACAACATCCACACACACAACACTCCCAACAATCACGACTCTTCTTTTTCAAGAGCCTATAAAAACCCAAATCATAATTTGCTCCTGTGAGTCAATTCAGTGCAATTAAGACAACTCCTGATTCATTAAACGTAGTCTTTCTGCCTTAAATCTCTGCTTCTTCAGCGGATGAGGATATGGTTGACTGCAGCAGATCGTAATGCTGTGAGAAAAAGCTGCAGAGTGCAGACAGTCATTAACATTCACCGGAGAGCAGAAACACGAGGGAGGAGGAGGTGGTGACACAATGCTCTATACAAGTTCAAAGAAAAACTGTAGCTACAAACATTAAAAGACAAAGTTTCAACTGCGCCAGCAAGTCGTCTTGTCCGAAATCAGAGAGCAGAGATGCAGAGTAAAGAAAGTGTCAAAGGTTAGAAGTGTTACTCAACAGATGCCAACATAGTGGAGAGGGAATATGATGGTAACGACCCCATATTTATGACCCTCTGAAATAGTGTCTGGAGGCCGCCAGGTGACACGGTACTGGTATGAAAATGTCAGGAAGAATTATACGCTTCCTTTGCAGCTGGGTCACCTCTATAAGATCACATCCTGGTCCCGGCCACGATTCGGCCACTTAAACACACACGGCCAGGTGACAAACTAACCCATACACCATTAATATTGCCCTCCTCAATCAGCAGTGTCTCCGTTTTCACTGGTGCTGTAATGTCGGCCTCATTTTTCATTGCTTAGAAGATGCTGGATGTGCTCCATGTGCAGCAATAACATATTTACTAAACAGTAATGCCTCTGAGTTACTACAATAAAAGTAATTCAATAATAAAGAGTGACACCACTACATATCACTATATATCCATATATTCTGACTTGTCACAAGTAACACGGCTAAATAGGAGACTCTTCAGGTTGACGTGAATGAAGAGGGGGCACTTTACCGTCGTGTGGTAAATGTCTCTGCTCAGGCCTCCAGCCCGGGATGCACACTCTAATTGCTTTTCTCCTGTCCTGCGTTGGATGGAACAAATCATCTGACATTTCTTTCTTAATCCTCCTTCGCTTGACTGTATCCATCAGCTCTATCCTGAGGCTCCTGTATATGATCATATGATCAAGCTTACACGAGGAGAAAATGCAGTCGTATTTCCAGGCCCACACACATCCCAGAGAGGTACTGAACTGTGAGCTAAAGACAGACGTGAAGTCATGCAATGGAGAATTAAAAATGATGAATTAACTTATCACAATTTACTGTAACACTTTGGATATAGTATAAGTGCTAAACTGTATAGAAACTGGGGAAGACTGTGAATTAGCTTTGTTGCCGCTTGTGTGGTGAAAAATAGCAATGCAAAAGGTCTTCAGTTTGTGCTCCGAGTATGGGAAATCTCCATGCCATGTTTATGAACTATCAACTATCGGACCATGTGTGTAAGATGCCCTAGTGGTCAGAGGTGGGTGACTTTCTCCAGTGAGTGGGTTCATTGTAGCTGCTGGAGTAGAAGGACTTAGCCTGGACTTGAACTAGCTTAGCGGGAAGCTTTCAGGATCCCCTTTCCAGTGGCACGCAAATCTGCCATTGACTAATTCCACTAATACATATTTATGCAGTACCGCTTACAGATTATAGGGCAACATTAGTCTGCATAGGAGCTGCTTTGAGGCTTGAAGAGTGGTAAACTTTAGAAGTGTCTAAGGAATGGGACTTTTGGTTCAAGTGGCAACACCACCACTGCAGCTCCATACACTATATAGATATAGAACATTTTGACCTTTACAAAGTGCTCCTGTGCAAAGGGCAACAAAGCCTAAAACACAATTTACCCTTTCCATACAAGCATGAGACATAAATCTACACTGCGTCTTTTTTATATAATAATTCAACTTTTTTGTTAAAGGAGGGAAAAGAATCCAGGGTTTACATTTATCACAGTTTCGTAGTGGTTGCTTGTGAAAAAGAAGAGTTTAGAATAAGAAGTAGGCTAGCCATCAATCTATGTAATTTAAGCTGGGGTACCCAACTTTCAAACCGCATACTAAAGGGTTATTCCAAATAGTTAATTTAGTTATATCACTAGTTTTCACTTATGTATTACAGCAGCTGCAGTACATTCAAAATGCAGCAGCTCGAGTCCTGACTAGAACCAGGAAGTACGACCACATTAGTCCAGTTCTCAGGTCTCTGCACTAGCTTCCTGTGGCTCAGAGAATAGACTTTAAAACAGCTCTGCTTGTGTACAAGTCTCTCCATGGCCTCGCACCAAAATATATTAGTGACATGTTAGTCCCATATGAACCAGCCCGGACTCTGAGGAGCACAGGGACTGGACTCCTGTTAATGCCCAGTCAGAACTAAACATGGGGAGGCTGCTTTTCAGATTCATGCTGCTAAAATCTGGAACAATCTTCCTGAAGATGTGAGACAGGCCTCCTCTCTGACAATGTTTAAAACCAGGTTAAAAACAGTTCTGTTTAGCTGTGCATACATCTGAGGGATTTTATATTTTTATCTTTCTTTTTAATGTTCTGTGATTATTTATGATTTTAGTGCTTTCTTATTTTGTTCAGCACTTTGAGTTGCCTTGTGTATGAATTGTGCTATATAAATAAACTTGCCTTGCCTTGCCTATTAGCCTTGGTCACATCTTTGAGACTTAAATGGTGAAAAAGTGACTTACAGGGCTCTTTCTTACAAATATGCAAAAGATGGAGCTTGTGTTGTCGTATTTTTTTTGTAAAATGTACAGGAATCATTTTTTATAATGGGGGAAAAAGTTAGTTAACCCCGCTTGTCATAGAAAAAAAAATTGTTGTTTGGGAAATATTAATTCCTACATTTTCGTGAAATCAATAGGCTTGACACAAATCAAGTAAGTTTGGTTACCGGTGGATCTGTCCGTTCTTGTGCAGGTACTCCAAGCCCTCCAGAACATCTTTCAACACGGTGGCTATGCTAGCCTCGTCCAGAACCCCGGTCTTGTGTTCCCCTCGTGAGATGATATGCTTGATCACGTCCAGGACTGACCCTGAAAATACAAGGACCATTAAACAATGAGGCCACACAATTAGTTTCATTAAAGCATTATTGTCTACCACAATCAAAAGAAATCTTTGTTTGTCTCTAAACCATTTTTTTTTTATTTTATTCAAGTTCCTGCATCTCTGAGAAAGCCACCTCAGGGCGAGACTGTATCCTTTGCTTCTCCATTGAATCTTATTTATAAAAACAAATACTTCCTGCTGGATTGGCAGACAAGATTAAACAAATCAGGAAAACACCTCTGGTTACTTTTATTGTTGAATGTAATTTTGCCGGGTTTTTTGATGAAGTCACAGAGGAAAACTCCAGGGGAACAACAGTTACATTCTGATTGGAAAATGTTCAGCGTAAGTAACAGGAAGTCAGAAAAACTAGGAATTTGCTTTGGCATATAGTGCAAACAAGTTATAAAAAAGAAAATAAATCATAATCATATTCTAATATAAATACAGACATTATCGAAGTGTCCAGAGGTTTGAGATTATGAATAGTAGATATAACAAAAGGGTATAGCGACGATTTTAAGGCGGTGGATGAGTGGATAGCACTCTCGCATCTCAGCAAGAAGGTCCTGGTTTCAAATCCCGGTCGGACCAGGGCCTTTCTGAGTGGAGTTTGCATGTTCTCCTCGTGTCTGCGTAGGTTTCGTCTGGGTACTCCGGTTTCCCCTACTACTAAAAATATGTACAATAGTTCTGGCATGCGCCTCCTGTTCGGCGACCCCGCTCCCATCTCTGTGTGGAGTGAGAGGACAATTGCCCCAAAAAAAAAGAAGAAAAAAATAACAATTGTAAATCGCTTTGTGACTCTGGTCTGTGAAAGGCGGTATATAAATAATTTTTTCCTGTATTTCAATCATTTACTCATTACAAAGTGACATATGCCGAGTATTTCTTTGTTTTAATTTTGATGATTGTGGCTTACAGTCCATCTTCAAAGTATTGTATAATTTTCTGAGATGTTTTATTTGGGATTTTTACAGGCTGTGAGCCAAATATTATTACAAGAAATCAAGGCTTGACATATTTCCCTTTCACATTTTCACACTTTCGTATTAGTTTCACATTGTAAGTTGTAAATAGACTTTTGAACTTTGATTTTTAATTACCGAGATCCACCTATAAAAAGGGACATTTAGAAGAAGATTTAATCGTAGAGCACATTCCATACAGGAACTACATCTCAAATGTACTTAACAGAGACATTGCATCAAATTACAACAAGTCTAGTGAGTGAGGAAGTAATCTTTATTTATATAGCGCATTTCACGAACCAAGGTCACACAAAGCGCTTTACGGGCTTCTGAGTACTGTACGTTCCACTCACACACGGTGATGACAGAAGCGGTGCTCCTCACATATTTCTGCACTACACCACAGAATTACTGTAGCTCTAGTATGAGATAGTACGCTGCTCTGTTCTAGATCTGAAGGTATATGTAGAAGGCCAAAACGTGGATGTATACATATTCTCAACTTGTGGTTCAATTGTCAAGTGTAAAACGGAATAAAGGTGTAAGGTGAACAGCCTGTCGTCTTTCTTTTGTAAAATTGAACAGTGAAGTGGTATAGAAGATGACTCACTCTTTTCCGTGCCAAAAGTGAGGTCACCCTGCCTCCCTGTGTTTTGGCTCCTGCTCAATAAAACACCACTTTGAATGAATGCTCAGACGGGCTGTTTGACTTCTGAAACTAGAAAAGTTCAAAACAGCTTCTAAAAATGAGAGAAAATTAAGTATCGGCTGTCTGTAGGAGAAAATTGGGTGTCATTGGTGAATAACGGCCAAGTTATGACGTCTGCGTGTTTCTCCTCTGCTCACAAAAGATTTGAAAACAAAGGCTGGAAGTGGCCTTTTTGTTTTCCTCCAACAATGTCCTTAATGAAATACTAGGACTAAGTAGATTGGGTTTTAGCGACATGGGACATATTCATTCACTAGAGAAGCTTGTGTTTGGAAGAGACAGTATGAGAAACAGGGCAAAATTAGTGTTTTAAATGTTTTACGGTGTATTCTTTTCAGATGCACTTGCTTCATTCAACTCAAAAAATGTTGGTGTCTGGAAGTCTCATAAATAAATAATAAGTACAGTTCTGATGAAGACGAGTGGCTGAAAAACGCTTCATCATGACGTACCAGTGTGCCTCGGACCATTCCTTTTGTGCTATACATGTTACTTTATGAATTTACTTGAAGAGCACCTGATCTTTTGTTTTGTGTGCTTATCATTCCTACTGCTCTGTAACTGGTGATGCAACACTGAAATTTCCCCACTGTGGAACAAAAGAAAAAAAGGATCCCTTATTATATATAGTATGGACAGTAGTGTGTAGAGATTACAGCAAAAACCTTTCGGTGACAAGCGGGAGAAGGCCCTCATTCGGGCTTAGGTAGAGGCAGAATTCTATGCAAAACAAAGTCTTCTGCTCACAATGATACACAGTCCAACTTTAATCCTTTAGTCCTACGTGAGAGACGATATTGACTATCCCCTGATAATAATTGCCAAGTAGAAAGCATCAGGATGGGACACATACAAATAGTGGCAATGACGTAGGGGCTTGTTGAGATTGATTTTCTGTTTTGGCACACGCACTTTCTCTGCGTGTATGCGTTTGTGTATGCGTGTGTGTGTATGATCCATGGTGTATGCGTGTGTGTGTGTGTGTGTGTGTGTGTGTGTGTGTGTGTGTGTGTGTGTGTGTGTGTGTGCGTACGTGTGTGTGAGACCTGAGGAGGGCCGTTAAGACATGGTGACAAAAGAGAAGTGAGGCGGGAGATGTAGCTCTAATGAACCAGGAAATGAGGAACGCCAGTAAGTATCTGACTATTTAAGACACAGCATGACCTGGCCTGAAGAAAAACAGTAATGACTGCATTCCTGAAACAATTATTTCTCGCTCAAGTCATTTTTTAAAGGAACTCAGAGGAAATACCTATGTACATCCTCTTTTGCTGTATTCAATAAAATATAGATGGTGTGGTATTTCTACTTATCTAAATTAGACAAGTCTTGGCCTTTGTTTACAGTTAGCTACCAAGAATATTGCACAACACATCACACTATTGATTACTGCAAACCTTTGACAATTGTCGTAAACACCAGCTGTTTAAATATTAGATTTACATTGGGACAGATTGCGTGTAAGGAAATAAATGGCACCTGTTGGCCCAGTTTAACGAATGCCCTGGGGGAGTTTAAATGTATCACAAAGAATATACTGAGCTTTTACAAATGCATGCAAAGCACTGGATGAGAAACATGGAAAAAGGTCCAGTCATCATTTGCTTTTCACGCAGGATTAACCTAATCTCACACAATTTGAGGCAAATGTGATGTGGTGTAAAAGTCAGCGCTTAGCAACAACTAACAACTAACTCAAGATCATCCTTCCAATCCCTATCCACACATTCATAATCTTTCAGATATTCAGTGTACAGGAGAAGAGAAAGGGCGATCATGAAAGCAGATGCCAACTGTGCGAAAGGCCAGAGAGGATGCCAGGAAGAGGGGTGGGTCTTAATGCAATAAGTTGTTCATTTAGACCGTGGGTCGGCAACCCATGGCTCGCGAGCCAGATATGGTTCTATTGACGACATCTGGCTGTCAAATAAATCAGCGGGTCATATCTTAATGCACTAGGGTTGGTTTCAAAAGAGCCAATCGCGTCCACCCTTCCTTTTGTTACATGGTTTTAGATTAGTCTTGATAATACGGTGTTACAAGGTAGTTATCTGCAGTTTATCTAGAGTGATCATGGGCCTCTTGGCTGCATCTCTCATCAGTCTTCTCCTAATTTGAGATGAAAGTTGAGGGGACGGCCGGGTCTTGGTAGATTTGCAGTGGTCTGATACTACTTCCATTTCAATATAATTGCTTGCACAGTGCCCCTTGAGATGTTTAAAGCTTGGGAATTCTTTTTGTATCCAAATCCGGCTTTAAACTTCTCCACAACAGTATCTCGGACCTGCCTGGTGTGTTCCTTTGTCTTCATGGTTCTCTCTGCGCTTTAAACAGAACCCTGAGACTATCAAAAGAGCAGGTGCATTTATACGGAGACTTGATTACACACAGGTGCATTCTATTTATCATCATCAGTCATTTAGGACAACATTGGATCATTCAAAGATCCTCACTGAACTTCTGGACTGAGTTTGCTGCACTGAAAGTAAAGGGGCCGAATAATATTGCACGCCCCACTTTTCAGTTTTTTATCTGTTAAAAAAGTTTAAATTATCCAACAAATTTCATTCCACTTCACGATTGTGTCCCACTTGTTGCTGATTCATGACAAAAATTTTAAATTTTATATCTTTATGTTTGACGCCTGAAATGTGGCGAAATGTTGAAAGGTTCAAGGGGGCCGAATACTTTCGCAAGGCACTGTATCGTTTTGCATTGTGGCCAAAAAGTTCGATTTTGGTTTCATCTGACCAGAGCATCTTCTTCCACATGTTGGGTGTGTCTCCCAGGTGGCTTGTGGCAAACTTTAAACGAGACTTTTTATGGATATCTTTGAGAAATGGCTTTCTTCTTGCCACTCTTCCATAAAGGCCAGATTTGTGCAGTGCACGACTGATTGTTGTCCTATGGACAGACTCTCCCACCTCAGCTGTAGTTATCTGCAGTTCATCCAGAGTGATCATGGGCCTCTTGGCTGCATCTCTGATCAGTCTTCTCCTTGTTTGAGATGAAAGTTTGGAGGGACGGCCGGGGTCTTGGTAGATTTGCAGTGGTCTGATACTCCTTCCATTTCAATATAATTGCTTGCACAGTGCTCTTTGAGATGTTTAAAGTGGTTCTCACCCCCACTCCTCGGAGCTTACGTCACTCACATTTCCTATTCAAATCTTCCTCTAAATGGGCGTAGCCTGGAGGACTAAAGGGGGCGTGAACGAGACTGGGCCGTTTGTATAGCTCTGGGCGGGGGGCTGCTGATGTCAGGTCTTGCTCCAGACGTCAGGTCTTGCTGCCACGCCAGTGTTGGCGCCAGATTCAAAATTCAAATGTAGTAATACAGGTCGCCAGCAGATGGCGCCTCACAGACGGTTTTAGGCAGAAAGTTTACCTTTCAACTAATTTGCACCAAAGTGACAAAATTATGACCAGGATATGTAGACAACACTATTGGACACTCATTTATACCGTTTATCAGCAAAAAAATGGATTTGAGGGTGAGTTGTCCTTTAAAGCTTGGAAAATCTTTTTGTATCCAAATCCGTCTTTAAACTTCTCCACAACAGTATCTCGGACCTGCCTGGTGTGTTCCTTTGTCTTCATGGTTCTCTCTGCGCTTTAAACAGAACCCTGAGACTATCAAAGAGCAGGTGCATTTATACGGAGACTTGATTACACACAGGTGCATTCTATTTATCATCATCAGTCATTTAGGACAACATTGGATCATTCAAAGATCCTCACTGAACTTCTGGACTGAGTTTGCTGCACTGAAAGTAAAGGGGCCGAATAATATTGCACGCCCCACTTTTCAGTTTTTTATCTGTTAAAAAAGTTTAAATTATCCAATAAATTTTGTTCCACTTCACGATTGTGTCCCACTTGTTGATTCATGACAAAAAATTAAAATTTTATATCTTTATGTCTGAAGCCTGTGTTTGAAAGGTTTGAAAGGAATACTTTCGCAAGGCACTGTATATGATATTTTGCAGTTCTTCTGTTAATAAAAACCTCTTTGCTTCACCCTAACCCTAACTTTTATAAATGTAAAATGTGTTTTATTTTTAAATATAAAAGGCTGTATACATTATATATAAAGAACAGAGACATGTAGAAACAAAGGGTTTACACATCCTGATAGCTGCTCTTAACGGGTGTTGAATGAAAAGCCAGAACTGGAATTTCTTGAAAATTATTTTGTTGACAGTTTACAGCTGTGCAGGTTTGGCTTTGAGCTAGCATGCTAGGAAACGCCCGGCGTGACTGCGGTGGAGGGTGATCCCACCAACGGAAGCTCTGTTTATACCTCTGTGTCCGTCTTTACCAATCACAGCACAGCTCAAAACATTTGAGACTCGGCGGAACACGTCAGGATGAATGTGCATCGTATTTATACTACCGTGAAACAGTCACACCAGAAGGCAAGTGTACACACATTTCTGTACTGAAGTTACCTTTTTCCAAACTTTTTTTAATCAGCTGTAATTTGTGAGCACCAGCCAATCAGAGCATGTAACCAGGACACGGCAGGAAGGGCAAGCTATGTGATTGGCTGATGCGCTCATGAGAGGGAACTTGGTCAGAACTTGTGGCGCCACCCGCATGTGAAAGCCTGATTCTGTCAGATTTCAGAAACTAAGCAGGGCAAGGCCTGGACACTACTGTGATGGGAGACCTCTGGGAACACCAGGTGTCTCAGTGGGGCAGCTGCAAAGTTACCAAGCAGTTGTAAGTAAACTTTATTTACATTGCTAGCTATATTTTTTTTGTACAAAACATCCACAGAACCTAGCATGCGCACCCAATTAATCAGCCTATTCCAGAGAAGTGAAGCGATCGCCTTAAAATCGTTTTTCTTTCATACTTTCATACATTCTTGGGGCAATATGACACCAAATTACTAACAGTTTTGTGAGGTTTATCTGTATAAGGAACTCTAAACACTCCAGTTGTCAGATCCTCTTCACCCAAAAAGGAAATTCACAAAAAAGAGGTTGTAGGGTGCCTTCCGCTCCATCAGCTCTGCCGACGGGCAGAATGGCCTTCCTGTGGCTGGTATGCTGTGCCTGTGGAGAGATGGTCTATAAAGACAGACTCATCTCAGCTACGTCTCCATGGCAAGCATCGCCAGGACCATCATTTAATTACTGACACAATAAAACTCAACATTAGGGCCGTGGTTTAACAGAGAGAGGCCATGTGAAGGTGGCGTGGCGGGCACAGTCTCAGACACAGCAGCAGGGGGGGGGTGGCATTCACCTGGGTCCTATTAACAACAAGTGCACTCAATCCACTCTGATGCAACAAGAGTGAAGGGAGTCTATTTTTGTTTACAATAAGGGTGTCCAAACTATGTCCCTGAGGAAAATGCAGCCCTCAAGACATTAGATTGAAGTTCCTTTAAATATCTTAAATGTAGGAAACTTACATTTATAGTTGGACTGCAGAACACAAACATGTTTGTTGTTGAATTTTTAACAATTCACAGGATTTTTCCTCAATCCACCTCGTTCTCTGCATACACAGGCAACTATGATAAATGTTTGGGAACCCCTGGCCTACATATTTTGTCTTCTGTAATAAATCATTGCTTAATGGGCCCTGTACCAATTTATATTTGAGAAAAAAAAATCCAGAACATTCTGTATATGTCACAAAAAAATAGGGGTAGCCCTAGAAATAGAGTGTTTTATTTTCAGAAAAGCAGCAGTACCGCTTATGAGCCAACTCATGTTAGCTCAGTCATGGCAACAATCGCTCGTCTCAGGAACGCTGTATACTTTATTCTAATAAATATTTTTTTAAACTATTTATCTGCTGTAAATAGATAATACCTAGTTTTATTTTTAAATGTAAAAAAGTTAGGCAAGGGTGTTTAAGTTGTATTGCAATCAAATTCAATACACAACAATTAAAAGTTTTGTTTTTTTATGGTTATAGTACAATATATAATATACAATAATTTACTGTATTGCAGTGGCCTCATGCACATCTCACTGTAATTGCAGCGGTGCCACATGGATGCCATGACTGTGGCCTGTTATTACCTCAGCCTGTTATTAACTTCTGTGAGTTGAACCCGGAAAGAGCTGCAGTCACACAGGACACAATGGGATCAGTGCTGTCACATTCCCCACAATCAGAGACTCAAGTAGCCCCGCTCGCCATTACCAGCAAGGAGCAACAACTAAACTGAAAATACTATGGATTTTGAACATGCAATGATGTGTGCGCTTACCCCCACTGAGCAGCTTCATGACCAGCCACAGCTCATCCTTGACAACAAATGAAGTGTAATAAGACACAATGTTGGGATGGTGGCACTGGCTCATGGCCTGGATTTCTTTCTGTGGAAAATACACAAAGAAAAGAAACTTTGTTTCACACTTTCATGTATACATAATGTTTAATCTGTACATTTGGAGCCAAGTAATCTGTTCTGCTATGTGGTCTTCTCTATATGTGGAGCTAGTTGTTAGTATCCTGCAAGCACCATAGAGTGTGCTTGTATATTGAATGCATACCATTACACACTTTTAGAGGAATTCATAGCTGAAATTAAATCACTTGAGAGAAAGAAGTCAGTATAGAGCTTAATAAAGCCCCCTTCTTGTGAGAATGACGGTAAGCTTGGAAAGCAGGCGAGTTGAGCTAATGCTGGAACACAGGTCTAATCCATCACATCAGCACCAGTCTGCAGTCATCTGAGGATAGAGGCGCTCGCTAAACTCAGGTTAGCCCACGTATATTCAGCTCTTTCTGTGGCTTTTAGATTCTAGATTTTAAGAATCTCTAGCAGTTACAGCAGCTGATGCTGATGTTGATACTTTGGCTGTCAATGTCTGCCAACACCTGCGATGAACCAATACTTTCAAATTACAGGAAACTTATTTATGGTATCTTATCCTGAAGAAACAGAACAACTTGAGTAAAACAATGATGTTCGGGGTTAGTAGCAGCCAGTAAAAGGTCTCATGATGGCCTGATGTAACAAATGTTCCAATATCTGCACTGATCTTGTATCAGTGCACCTCTAAGGGACATCAAATATTTTATCGCAAATAAGATTCACCGCAGCATTTAGAGCTACGAATGCACAATATTTAAATTAAATTCACATTGAAACCTCTAATGCTATTTTTACACAGCCATTCAGAAAATGCAGAAACAGCACTTATGTGGCTCAACAAGACAAAGAATCACTTCCACAACAGAGGAGGATTTGTTTAAGGCAAAGTGATCGATAAATAGATGCACGAGGGACACTGTATCAATCAAAGGCTGATGTCCCATCAGCAAAAACGCTTAACTCACATAATGCTGGAACAGCTCAGTCTCTGCTGCCGATTCATCAGAATCAGAGGCCTTCAGCCCCGGGGTCAGCCTCAGCAGGAGCAGGTGGGTAATACAGATCATCGAAGGGGGAGTCATAATAAGGGAACCACGTCAAGAATAGGTATGTTGGAGTTTACACAATAGAATTTGACTCAGGCGTGTGCCTGATGTTAGAACTGTCTCCTAGTACTTACTGTAATGCTTGGTATCTCAAAACACATTTTCTATTTCATTCAGAGAGTCTCAAAAAAAGGTGGTTTTACTTTTAAGTTTCAACGAAAAAACATTTTTACAGAGAAATTTAGGTTTAAGTTAAGATGAAGTTAAGCTAAAGGAAACAGTTGGTGACACATGTGCTTTGCCCTTCAACCATTTGATATTTGTTAAGTTGTATAAATACCCCATTGTTACACACTGGTGCCACAGGATCACAGTCTTCAGACGGACAGAGCGGCCACTATAGAAACTATGTTACATCAGTCTGTGTTACTCAGAGCCGCATGAGCTCTGACCCAATCTGTCAACAATGCAATATACAACCAAGCGGAACAGAAAGGCAACTGCTTTGCAATCTCTGGAAACAAAACTTCCTAAAATAATTTGGAAGAAAAAACACCAAATTTAATAGAAGCAACAGAGCGTTAGATTTTTTCCTGCATTTACTCATGACTCAAGTTAGTCATGACAGAACAAACGCATTCCTTCTCTTGCACCTTGTCCCATTATTGACCTTTTCATGAAGGCTTCATGAAGATCCAAGTGAAAAATCACAAATGAGTCAAAGGCTGTAACAAGTTAAAATCGATTAATCGCAACTAATCAATTATTTGTCTAATTTAGTACATTGATTTTTTTAACAATGCTGAGAAGAGGTTCAAGAATGACTGCAGAAGAAAAATTGGCCAAAAAAAAGGCATCTCTGAAAAGATGTTCTCCAAGATCAAATGTTTGATGCCGACCTTTCGAGATATAAACAACAATAAAAAAAAATATATATATATATATTAATCAAAAGAATACATTGTTTATCAAAGCAATTGTTAATTACAACCCTAAATGAGTCCACCCATTATAATAGTAGTAGTTTGATCACCCACAGAGAAAACAGGAAATAGTTATAAATGTTATTGCCTGAAATAAACTTGCCACTCAAGGGCAGCGTAGCCATCTGAGATATAAAATGATCTGTTAACACTCTCATCACCAAAGTGCTGCATGTCTATCCAACTCTTGTGCCAGGAATAACTCACACATTCCACTGCGGCTCGAATGATGACTGAAATCACACTGCTGAAAGTTTAACTGAATATGTCCGTAGCCTCCAAGCTCCCTTACAAGTCGCAGGCCCCATTTTACATGCATGCCCCATCTGGGTTCAATTTAAAGCTTCCTCGCTGCTGTAGTGGGCACCCAGGAGCAGGCAGCGTAGTTATGGGGAAAGCACAGGCAGGAAACCCGAGCTGTGGACTGGTGCATGTGACCGGAGAAGAGCCTCCGTTCATCTGCAGAGGTGGAGGGCTAAGGTCTCCCCCGGTCAGAGTGGGAGGTGAGGGGCTTACTGTGCGACCACAAGATTACGCTGCAGAAACATGACTTCTCAGAGGGTCAGCTGGCCCCCACATCAAATACACGGTTAGACTTTGTTTGAGGGTGTAAAGGCAAAACTGCTGAACGTAACAATAACAGCAGATTCCAATACAATGTTAAGAATTTGAATTGCAACTTCTTTTAAAATAATTTAACAAATCCAAAAAAATTGCCAATAAATATTTAAGTGTATCTTGTTTTTAAAAGTTAGTTTGGGAAGAATTTCATAATCGCAACTTTTGTCTTGAGATAAAGTTGAATACAGATTTTAGTGACATGTAAGGTTAAGTTGATGTTTTCCATTTACAGGAAAAAATATGTGGGTGGTGTACTGATCGATTTGGTTGATAATTCCATTTCGAGTAAATGCAACACAATCTATAGAATACAGACATTTTTACATCAAAAAGACACTGTTGGCTTGACTGAAACTGAAAGAAGTAAAAAATAAAAAGAATATTTCAACTCCATTCACAATAAAACTATTTGCGGATGCTATCCTGCACCATGTCAACAAATTACCATAATTATTGAGATACAATAGTTTTATACAGGTGATACTCATACAGAAGTACACATACACTACCATGGTATCAACTGCTCTTTTTATGTAATGTTTGTTTCAAATGCCTGGATTGAGAAAGCACAATTAAACTAATCAATGGAATGTTTTATGGGCCTCTAACTGTACTGTTATAAAGTGATTTGTGGCTTCAAAGCTGCTATATTAATACATATTACTAACTTACCCCATCTAATGCTAGCTAATCATTACACTGCATCCACTCAATTTCTTAAGAAGCTATTTGTCATTTTGCTCTGAATAAGGTTGAAAACTTCACAGGAAAACGCCCCTGTACCCAAACCCCAGAACCTTCAGCGAGTGTGAAGATCATACATATCCAATGTTGATGTTCTGAAAGATCATCCACAATGAGCTTTTTTCCAGTACCTAATCTAGTGTTAGCTGGAGATTTTCATTAAACCCTTTCTCCTCTTGAGGTAAACCAAGCATCACGCAGTAAAAGACGTGCTGGGGAAAATTGCATTGAGGGCATTGCGATACAATACAGGCTTTAAAAGATGTCCCTGTGGTAATAGTTTCCTGGCAGTAAGTGGACACTCTTTGGAAGAACAAACCGGATAGTGTTTGAAGTGACCAGGATGATTGGAGGAGGGTTGAGAACAGTAATGAAAAGCAGAGCTAAACTAACGTTAACCAGAGACTGAACTATAAATTCTATTATTATACGGCTCCTCACAGCAGCAGTAGAACGCTCCATTGATTTGAATGTAATTTCAAAACGTTCTACCGGTCATTATTTTCTATAACGGACCTCTCAAAACAATAATGACCGCTGCCCATGGCAACGCACTCTCTGCTTGTCTTTCAAATGCGTGGATAACTCCGCAAGTAGTTCCGGCCACTCCTGAGCTAGCCACGCTCAATAAACACACTTAAATGTTAATCGGAGAATACTTATACATATACATTCTTCACACACGTGCACGGAAATTTTCAGAATTTTCTGGTCTTGTCTTCATGACAAAAATACTATTTCTCTGCGTCAAAAAGCGATCGTGAAAACCCCGGAAGTAGTTCTGGCCGCTCAATAAACGCAAATGCCAATCGATCAACGCAATGAAATGTTTATCGGAGAGTGAATTATACATATCCAGTCTTAATACAAGTGCACGGAAGTTTTCAGAATTTTCCGTTTACGTTTTCATGACAAAAACACTGATGTAATGCGAGAAAAGGCGATCCCGAAAAACCCGGAAGTAGATACCGGCACATTTTAAGATACCGGCACATTTTCGGACACATTTGCAGAGGATCGATTTAGGTTAGGTTTATGTATGGGTCACTCACCGCTGATGTTCGGAATTCTTTGTTCAGTTTTCATGCAGTTCCAGAGAGTTCTAGTTTGGAAGTTGCCAGCCTAACTGTTGCTAGCATAGCCACACTGCCTGCCCGCGGTTGCCGAGCAACGGGAAAACTTTTTGGGACTACTTTATTTGTTGTCATTAAATAAACTTTTGGCATTCATAAAAGTGATCTGAAGTTTATTTTGTGTGTTAAGTTGGTACCTTCAGGGCGGAAGCAGACCCCTCCGCTGCGCGTCGGGGTCCGCTTCGCCCTGTCGGTACTTATTTTCCGATAATGACCTGTATGCTATACATTATCCCTTACTTATTATACGGCTCCTCACAGCAGCAGTAGAACGCTCCATTGATTTGAATGTAATTTCAAAACGTTCTACCGGTCATTATTTTCTATAACGGACCTCTCAAAACAATAATGACCGCTGCCCATGGCAACGCACTCTGCTTGTCTTTCAAATGCGTGGATAACTCCGCAAGTAGTTCCGGCCACTCCGGAGCTAGCCACGCTCAATCAACACACTTAAATGTTAATCGGAGAATACTTATACATATACATTCTTCACACACGTGCACGGAAATTTTCAGAATTTTCTGGTCTTGTCTTCATGACAAAAATACTATTTCTCTGCGTCAAAAAGCGATCGTGAAAAACCCGGAAGTAGTTCTGGCCGCTCAATAAACGCAAATGCCAATCAATCAACGCAATGAAATGTTAATCGGAGAGTAATTTATACATATCCAGTCTTAATACAAGTGCACGGAAGTTTTCAGAATTTTCCGTTTACGTTTTCATGACAAAAACACTGATGTAATGCGAGAAAAGGCGATCCCGAAAAACCCGGAAGTAGATACCGGCACATTTTAAGATACCGGCACATTTTCGGACACATTTGCAGAGGATCGAATTATGGATTTAGGTTAGGTTTATGTATGGGTCACTCACCGCTGATGTTCAGAATTCTTTGTTCAGTTTTCATGCAGTTCCAGAGAGTTCTAGTTTGGAAGTTGCCAGCCTAACTGTTGCCCGCGGTTGCCGAGCAACGGGAAAACTTTTTGGGACTACTTTATTTGTTGTCATTAAATAAACTTTTGGCATTCATAAAAGTGATCTGAAGTTTATTTTGTGTGTTAAGTTGGTACAAAGCAGTATAATAAGCGGGATAATGTATAGCCTACAGGTCATTATCGGAAAATAAGTACCGACAGGGCGAAGCGGACCCCGACGCGCAGCGGAGGGGTCTGCTTCCGCCCTATACATTATCCCTTACATATGCTACGGCGTCTTTGATCCCACACAGGTCAGTCTTACCAAGAGTTCGTCCATACTCGTTTGGCACTTCTCCAGATTGATTCTTTTGATTGCCACCTTCTCTTTCCGGGGTGTACAGTAGGCTGCTTGAACCACCGCAGTGGCCCCACTACCTGCAATGAATGAGAAGAAGAAAACAAATTGATCAGACTGAAAATAGAACTGTTAATGAAGGTAGATAGTCACTCATATAGGATAAATAAAGTAAATAAATTAAGTTATAATTCTTTAATGGTCTTAATCTTTAGAGGAACTGGTTAAAAAAAAGGACAATATTATTTGGGTCTGGTTCACTTTAACTGGACTAATTCTTCTACAAAAATATAACAGCCTTATGGTGAATGTGTAGCTATTTCTAAAAATGAATTTCACAGTTGACTTTTTAAACTATGACCCACATTGATTCTGATATGAACTGAAACTGAATAAAAAAAATGTGTGAGATTGTGATTGTTAAAAGACAATGTTGAAGGTTCATAGAATACAACTTTGGATGACTAACATCCATGGAAATGCTTACAGCTGTCCCTCAGTGTCCCCTTCCTAAACATTTTTAATAGACTGAACAAGCACACAGTCAGAGGGCAACAATTATTCTTGACGAAACACAATTAGTCATCCAAACACAGCGTGGCTATCAACAATCTGATTAAATCTTTAATACAGCAGTGGGCTAAGCTTCATTTTCAATATTGTGCGACATACTGGGTCCAAGCCTGTATAATCCTCCCCAGGAGAGTCTGACTGTTGTTACTTTATTATGAAGTAATTTCACTGCCCCCTCAGTGCTCTCAACACGTACACACCGGAGTGATGCAGACTCTTTATTTTATTTTTTATTTTTTTGCAGTTTGTTCACTTCCAAAAAGATTGAAAGTGTTGCAAGCCTTTTCCTTTACAACTCGATTATTAATCTTAGCCAAAATAGTAACAAACCATTCATTGTTTTGGTCTTTGTGAAAGCAGTACTCGAGAGAGAGAGGTTACACACACACACACACAAAACGGCAGATTTTAATTAAAAAGAAAATCTTTCCCAAAGGAAATGCTCTTGGATTATTTAACTGCTAAATTCTAGAGTTCTAAAGTTTAAGTTTTAATATAAATACAGTACAAATGAAATTTGGATATTACGTTTCTCTTTTGATAACTCCAGAACATTTCCACTTCTAAAAAAAAAATCACTTTGTATGTGAAATTAACTTTGTAACATTGCATAATGTGTTATCTCTTTAGTAGTTTTAGGTTTGTTTGTTAGAAAGGGCCCTGTGAGTCACACGGCTTTGGGCTGAGAGCTGAGGGTCAGAGTGAACTTTTTTTTATAATTTCTGTCTGAAAAAAATGTGGTCACAAATATATATATATATATAAAAAAATAGTGACAGAACCAAACGGTTTTCAGAGCTTGGAACGAGATTTTGTGGTCTCAAACTTAGGTACCCCAACTTTAATATTCTAATTTTGCAGGCTGTAAAAAGACATGGGCTTTGTACATTAAAACCTATACACTATTGGTTCTTATCACTATGGATGGACTATGACTTTTGCACACTCTGACCTGCACCCACTTTCTAAGAATACAACCCCCACCCACCACGTGTAAATATATCCCTTCAGCCACTGCCACCAGCACCAATCCCAAACAAACAGGCCGCACCTTCGGGAGCTGGTTGCCCTGTACGCAGCCAGTGTAAATTGTTCTGTACAAACAAACATTGAGGCTACAGAGCATGAGCGCACACAGAAAAGGGGGAAGCCTGTTGGGTTTGAAGTAAGTGAAGCCAAAGATCACATGAAGCTCGGTAGTTAACTTGCTCAAGCTGTGCTATTCACTAAAGATGTATTTACGGCACTGTGGTTTTGTGCTTCTCAGAAGGATACAAGTTAAGGGAATATAGATGCACTTAAGTATTTACTAATTTTGTCCCAGATTATTGCACATAAATGGCATACTTTTATAGATCCGTCAACATGAAGATGGCTTTACTGTACTTTTAAAACTGGAGTACCACATTTGTTTCATAAATAGCTGTTGGTTGTCTCAACAGAAAGTCTTGTTTAAGTATCCTTTTGTGAGTAAATCAGACCACAACCCAATTGGCTGAGTGAGGGTGCTCCTCAAGTTCATAACTAAATGAAAAGCTAAATATATGCATTTTAAATGTATGCAGCAATTGCTATTGTCACTTAAAAAAGTTACACATAGCACTTGTGACAAAGGTTCACAAGTTCAACTGTGACTTTGTTGCTCAAGTGTCAGTTCCTAGCATTAGTTAATATGTGGAGCAAAACTCAAAGTTGCTGAATATCTTCATCATCAGTCAATTAACCATCTTTTTCTTGGAAATTCTTGGAAATTTATTTACTCCACACCGGCCCTGGCCACAGCTATTCTCTATACAGTATCTGAACTGTGGTTTGGGAAAGCACAAACACTTTGACTATATTTAGTGGCACAAAAGTGGATTGAGGTTGTTTTGAGAGCACAGCAAAATCAAATCAATATATTGGGTTAGTGTAAATCAGTCAGAGATGATCCAAAAGTCAGCTAAAACAGGGAGACTAGAACATGTCAGTCTACACTATTGGAGTCTCCAATTTTAATTTTTAAATAAATGTTCTTGTAAGTCAACATTGATTGGTGCCAGTAGGTACTTGGGCACTTGTTATTTGCAGCCGGCAATAAGGTTCTGCTTGAAGTAGCCATTTACCAAACAAATGTGATCTTTGAAAAGATGGCTGGTGTTTTCTGTAAGCATGTTTCCGCAAAACAGTCAGGAGCCACAAGAAAAATATGGCATGAGCTACAGTAAAAGCATACAAATACTCTGGAAAAAGTGCAATACCCGTTCTCCGCTGGCTGTTGGCCTTTGGGAAAAAAATATCTTTGCAATTTTTCAGATTTTTTTTGTGTTCAAAGATTACATATACACTTGTCATGAAGAATAAACAGAGAATACTTGCTAGTACAAACCTCTTTCATTTTTTTCCATCGGGCAAAATCTCAAAACAAAAACTAAATAATACATTTTTTAGTTTATTTAGGCTTTTCTGGGAACATATTTAAATTGGGCGAGAGAAAACTACTTGTGTAGTTTGTCTTTATATGCAGAAATTACCCCACTCAAATAAAGTATTACCTTTTGCTTGGCCTCAAATATAAAAAAAATACATTAATGGAAGACATGACTTGATATTATGAATAACATAATTATCATTGTTGGAAAGAATGAATGCTACACATACACATCTTAAATTCTCCCTTTCTTCAAGATTAGGTCGAAAAGTATGAGGTGGACCCTTGCCAGAATACCAATGTAATATAACCAATCAATCATAACTTATCAGATTAGATGGCCTTGAAATAGTCGCTTAATGGAACGGACCGGAGAGAAACCTTCACCATGCACTGGAGCTGGAGATTTGAGATTGCCCTGATTGACCTGCCATCTCCGAGTCAGTTCGCCACCATGTAACTCCTCTGTTACCCGTGGGTGATATCAAACACACTAATGAAATCCTGATGAGAAATATCACACAAGCACAGCAACCAGTGTAGAGCTCCAATAACACAGTGAAGACAAAGAATACACTGTAACCACTTGGGCTGTGACGATCCTATGTCACGATACAAAACATATCACGATACATGGGCCTATATGTTTCCTATAATGATATTGATATGTTGAGGCACAATATATTCCAATTTCATTCTTATATTGCCCAGCCTAGTGCCAAATATACTTCCGGTCAATCTGACATTCATTCAAAGTAATCAAAAGTGCATAAAACAAAAGGGCTTTCCACCTGAAGCGTATAGCTTATATGAAGGTAATATGTTTGTACCAGTTCCACAAGTGTACATATCAAAAGTATTGTCTGCCGTATCAACACTCAATTCTGTGGCAAACCCCGATACAATATATTGTGATATAATATTTTGTTAGAGAAAAGTGACAAAATTTGACTTGATGACATGTTGAGTTTTTAAAAAGTGAATGCAGTCACTGCAGTAACTCACTAATTCAAGAATCCACACTCAGGAACTGAACACTGAGCAGGTTATTCTGGCGTGCCTCCAGTAACTTTCTAGGTAACCATGATGAAAGGGGCAGAAAAGAGTCAACGCTAAATGCAGGTCTTTGGAAACTATACAAAAAGGTCAGTTAGGGGCTTGCAGAATTGGGCCTCTGTAAACACAGATTCCCTGCAGAGCAAACACGTGCCAGCGCCATAAACTTTAACAGAGCCATACTTTGCCAATACATTACTCACCTTATCTTCCCCACAGAGCAGCAGCTATGACAAGGAACCGCGGTAAAGTGGCCCTGCATTTCGTCGCGAGCGGTAAAGAGGTCCGCACTTTGAAAGCGGTTGGCTCTTTTATGCTGTTACTTACGGTAAATGTGGAAAGGGAAGCCGTGACGACGAGAAAGCAAAATGCTATATCTTTTAAAAAATCATTAAAAAAGAACAAAAAGAGGTTTGACAATACTTTCACTGCACACTTCTTCAATGAGATGCTCTTTACCACTGTGTAAAATATCATTCATTTTTACTCTAGAAATTCAGAGAAAATGGGGGTCAAAATGTGCCATTTTGGTCCCAAAAGCACTTTTTAAAATTCATTTTTAAAAAATCGAAAAAAGTTCCCTGACTGCTTTCACTGCACACTTGTTCACCAGGATGCCCTCTACCACTGTGTAAAATATCATTCACTTTTACTGTAGAAATACAGAGAAAATGGGGGTCAAAGTGTGCACAAGTGGTCCCAAAAGCACTTTTTAAAAATCATTTTAAAAAAATCTAAAAAAGTTCCCAGACTACTTTCACTGCACACTTGTTCACTGGGATGCCCTCTACCACTGTGTACAATATCATTTACTTTTACTGTAGAAATCCAGAGAAAATGGGGGTCAAAGTGTGCACAAGTGGTCCCAAAAGCACTTTTTAAAATTAATTTTAAAAAAATCTAAAAAAGTTCCCTCACTACTTTCACTGCACACTTGTTCACTGGGATGCCCTTTACCACTGTGTAAAATTTTATTCGCTTTTACTGTAGAAATCCAGAGAAAATGGGGGTCAAAGTATGCACAAGTGGTCCCAAAAGCAC